TACTAATACTCGTATAGTTATTTGTCTGGAAATCTACTCCAGGATAACTGTTGTATTTTGAAAGGAAATGCATGATTATTTTTATATACATGCAAATATGTAGGAGTCTGGGCATATGTATATTCCCTTAAAATAATTTTAATTTTAAATACTAGTTTAAGCTCATTAAATGTTATAATATTTTTTCACTTCAATTACACTATGTTTTTGCGACCTTAACAATGATTTCCGAATTATTAAATTTTATAAACTCATATGACTATGGGCTGTGTGTGTCCTAATGGACTTTGTTCAAACACTCGTTTATACATATATAGAGGGCAACAAAAAAGGTAATAAAATACATACTTAATCAATGCTAAGTTAAAGGATGCCAAACTGAGGGTGATTATATTATATTTATCACTGAAATATCAACTTAAATTAAAAAGGAGAGATAGGCATTTTAGTTTATTTAAGTTCACATTTTGATTTCCTGCTTCTGAATATTTGACCTGATAATGATAATGATGATTTGCAATACTAGATTTTTTTAGAGATAACTTTCAATTTGATGTATACATACTGTATATTCATATACATAAATACGCAAGTATGTCCAATGAAAAACCACAAAATGCACTTGCATAAAAAAGTATTCAATTGCAATTCGCTAAGAATGTCGTTGTAGATCATTTTATCTCCAAGCGCACGTTGCTGTGCCAATTTATTACCACTTTTCTCGATTTACTTTTATTCGCTCAGTGGCAGTGTTTTATTTCATCATAATCAAATGCTTTTGTTGTGGAAAGTTATGTTGCAGAGACACTTGATGTTTCGTTAGGAAAAGTCCTCACAAGAGGTTAGAAAGGAAACAAAATTTATGTGAGATTTGAGTCCTTGGCCATATTCGTAAAGCACGAAATTTAAAAATACTGAAATATAAGGTTCATTACACAAGACATTTTTACAGTTTAACAGAAGTGTATTAAATAACTTTTCCATTTGCACATTTCATAATTCGATTGCTTTCTTCCTCAAAGCTTTGTGCTTACGGTTTCGAAAATTGAATTTTATATTATGTAAAAGCTATTTCCATCGGTCCACATATATTTGTATTTGAGCGCACAGGATATGAGAAAGCACATATATATTTATGTCCATATATGTCCATAAATTTATTTAAAAATCATAAGTTCAAGACCTTAGCATCATATGACATTCATGAATAAGCGGAAGCACTGTGTAATAGAAGTGGAAAAATTAATCTAAGAATTTAAATTTATTGAAGTTTTTAATTAAATTCAAAAACATTTGAAGTAAATATCAACTACATTAAAATTCATATAAAATACATATAGTTGTCATCTTTAAAGGCAATAATGGAAACAGAAATAGAGCGAGAAAGGACATCAAAGAGTTGCCTTCGAAATATGCTGCAGAATGAAAAACGCATTGAATTACAA